GATGAGAGACGAAACGTTTCTAGATTTTTTTGCTTTGTTTTGTTTTTTTGAATGTCCAGAGGACCAGATTGAACTTTTTTGGAGATATCTTAGACCTGTTAGCGTATCGTTTAGCGTTTGTTTAATGTATATCTTAGTGTGTATCTTAGATCCTTATATACTGTTTCTTATAGTTTTGCTATTTTGGGGCGTAACTGGAACCTTGAGTACACAATTTTGTTCCACCTCATGTACCACATGGGATGTGAATGACAATAAAGAACCTTGAACCTTGAAAGCAACAGGTCCAATAGGAAAACCTTCTTCCCTTAGACTCTTTCTGGGTCCTCTTGAGGGTTCACGAGGCAATCCCAGGCCAGAAAGGATACATCCCTTCTGCCTAGAAAATCTCCAGAAGGGAACATCCACATGAAGGCATCCTAATCAAATGCACAAACCACCTCAGTAAACTCTGCACCTCTGGTGACAGAGCTCCTTATCTTATCTCTAAGTCTATATGACACCCTCCGGAAGAAGCCCATTTAGGATCAGGTTCTTTCAGTTATTCTCAATATGACCACTGGAACGAAGATGGACCAGTAAATTAAAGGGGCCACCTTTTGGCTGGGCTTCTCCTTCAACACAGCAAACTGAGGCAATACCCTAAAAGTAATGATTGGTTTATTTGCTGTTTGTTTTATAATTCCATAAGCTTTGCCACTGTTTGATTTTATGGGTTAAAAGCCAGAAAGTTTGGGAACCATTGTATAGATTAGCCACATAGCATATTAGGTTTAGGGGAAAATAAAATATAAGCAGACATTTTACGCTTTCAGGGGCTGTGGTAGGTCAGAGGTCAGAGCTGCGGCCTTGAAATCCCAAGCTGAAAACCCAGGTTGAGTTTGGAAGGGCATTAGATGGAAAACAATTATCAAATATTTTGTGTAAAAGTTCAAGCACTGGGACGACCTATGACGAAAGAAGCAGTTTTCAGTGTGCAGTTACGTCTATTGGTATGTCTTTGTTATTCAGGGTTTTGAAAGTTTTCGGAGCAAAACAGGCTGAGTTCAACTACATGACTGAATAGAAAAAAAAAATCCTGTCTCTCTGATGAAAAGTAATGCAAAAATGGAAATAATAGTTACCTTTTTTCTTTCTTAAAAAAAAAATAAAAGTTTCAGTTTTGTATTTGCACTCATTCCACTTGCATGACTCCAGCATGGAGCACTGAGGACATTTCACAAGTAAGAACTTGAGGAATAAAACAGGCTTTTTCTTGTTTTTAAATCTTACATGTGGGTAAACGGAAACTACATCCCCCCCTCTGTGTTTATTCACGCATAGTTTCTGTCCGGAACCTCTACAGTCTGATAACTTTCACCTTGAATGAATTTCTGTGCTTTTTATTTATATATTTATTTGGTTGCGTCACACGGAATCTTCCCGCCCATGCTTCACTTTCCCCGCCTCCTTGTCTTCATTCTCGGACGCTGATTGGCTCAGACGCGCGTCACTCACACCTGCCACTGAGGCAGGCTCCTCCTCGTCCACGACGTTGAACTCAGGGCTGTGAAACGAGGAGCTGCACACAGTCCAAAATCTGGCACATGCAACGACCTGCTACGTGGATATGATGCTGTAGCTGTTCTTCACAGAACCGTAAGTTTATCTTTTCACTAAAACTCGCATGAAAGTGGACGTTTTTGTTATTTCAACCTCGCTTCCGTTTGAATGAAGCGGCAGACTTGACACCTATGTGCTGTCTGTCAAGTGAAAAATCGCGCTGGATGGAAACATGAAGTCTTCTCTTGATAGGTGATGCTAAGCTAAGCTAACCTGTGAGCTAAAGTATGACTATAAACATTAACTATGCTAAGGGTTTTATTTAAGCCATGCAATGGATGACTCGATTTAGCACTTCTTTTTTTTTTACTTTGACTTGCTGTGTCTGAGCCGAGGCCACCTGTGGTTTGTCATCATCATAATTTCCCCCATTATATTTATATTTATATTAAATAATCAGGCCTGTGAGTCTGGTTTAATTAAACAGATGTGTCTTTTTAGTGGTGCAGTCCTTGCCTATGTGTGTTTATATATTGAGTGAAAGTTGTTTTCTCTGAAGCTACAGAATGGATGATTAATTATTTTGTAATTGAGTGACTTTATTCTCATTACAGTGTAAAGTGATTCAGGGTCAGCCTACCACTTAGTTCACCCAAGATGATTTTCTGCATGAGCAGCATCACTGTGATATTTACTCATGCCCTGTGGGTGCACACAGACAAGACAGCCCCTATTTATGCTAACAAAACAGCAACCTGCAGATTTTTTTGTACATTTATGTTCTCGCGGCCATAGGCTGCTTTGTAATTTATCTGGGATAGACTGCAATGCTGGGGAAACCGGTTCAGTTATAGGTTTACTACTTAGGTGTAACTATCAAGAGAGAGCAACATGTCTAATTTTAGTCAGCTAATAGCTAGTTTTATAATTATTCTAACGAACGTTTGAAATATTACAAGAAAGCCTAAATTTCCTGTCCAACCTTTCAGTCAATATTTGCGAGTTTTTTTTATTTCTTCTTAAGCTTCAAGGTTTGAGTACATTGTATTATTTCAACGTCACCTTCCTCTTAATGTCTTTCTTACATGGTAGAAATAAAAGGATTATTTGTTCACTGAAAAGCTATAGAGTGTTAATTGTACCTCGGAGCTAAATGGCTATGTGCAGGCACATTAGTGTCAAATAAGGTGTATTAGATCTAGTCTGTTATTCTTCAGCTGATTTTGCTACTTAGACGCTAAACAAAAATCAATTGTATTTCTTTCAGTGTGCATAATGGACGTTTCTCTAATGAAACTTAACAGCTTTTAAAGTTGTAAAACATAATTACAAACAGTTTGTGGTTAGACAAGATAGATTTGTCTTCAAAACGCCGGGCTATGTCAACTGGTAAAGACAAAATATTTAACAAGGTTGTCCTTCAGTGGTGATCGCTAGGCCTGAACAATTTTGGAAAATATTCTAATTGCGATTTTTTTTTTTTTACCTCAATATTGTGATTTAATATGTGCTTATTTTTCAATGTCTTATGCTCATGTATTTTTCACCGAACACAAGCAATAAATCTGTTTCAGTTGCAAAGAACTCCACTGTTTTCAGCTCCGCTGCAACTCTGTCTCTGCATTATTTGTGTAGCTCTGGGATAGCAACTTGGCTAAAATGTGTGCATGAAGGCATTCTGTACCATTGTGTTTACCAAAGCTGTAAACCCAGGCTTGGTCACTATATTAATTGACATCATGTCTTTCGCTATGAACTTTGTTATTGCTCGAGTTATTTCCACGTGCCGTTTTGAAGTATGTTCATACGGAGTAATACCTTCGAACAGTTCGGTCAGTGATCCCTGTCGGCTGCTACTTTGCTTACTTGAAGTTGAAGCACGTTGGCATTCTAGCCATGCGACTATTGTAAATGACTTTGTCGTGGTTTTTTAAGTGTTGATAAAGATTTGTGGTGTTACCTCGAGAGGTAGCAACAGCAGCAAGACAGGTTCTGCACAATACATGTCGTTGCGTAGCGTCTTTTTTTTTATAGCCAAAATAATTCCAAACAACGTACGTGCTGCCCCTCATTGGTACCAAACTTTCAGATGTATCAGCTTCTGTCGAGCCTGACACCATTGTGCAACCGGTTAAAGCGCAGTGTTGACTTCTCCTGCTCTCCTTTGCTCCGCTCCACTCACTCGCAGGTCACGCAACCAGATCATGTGACCAGTCAAATTGCAGCCTTCGCGATTAGAAAATCGCGTTTTATCATATCGCGATATTATTGCAAATACAATTAATTGTTCAGCCCAAGTGATAGCAATAACTTCTGTTTGACATTTTTAATCAACACCATAAAGCTCTGTATTTAAATGAAAAGTGTTTTATGAATACAGTGGTACCTAATATCCCTCTGCTTAAATGACTCCAGAAGGCTACAGTCACAAATGTTTGGTTGCTACTAAACATTTGTATGGCATTGTAATTCAAGAACAAATGGTTTGCAGTCAGAAAGTCTTATTTCTTAGGTTTTATGTGCTGTTGGTGGTGTTCATTACTTCTTTAAGCTTTCTAAAGACCTTTTGAAGATTTTCTTTGGCTGTTGTTGAAACTCATCTTATTGGAGTCATTTTCAGTCCAGGACCTGACTATTAGAGGAACAGGTTTTTTTGTTGTTGTTGTCTCTTTGCATGTTAAGACACTTAATTTGATACAAAAAACTAAACTAAAATCAAATAAATTTGGCTCCAGTGTTATGTTGACACGCAGCAGACAACAAAGACATGATTTCTTTCAGCACTTTGTCAGGCGTCACAATTTGTATTCATTTATATAGCTGAACGAAAATTACCAAAGAGAAGAGTTTGACAAACACAAAATGATGTTTTAGCCTCAACAAGATGATTCCCAAAGTGTTATTGGCTGAAAACTCATCAACGGAAGGATGATGCAACTTTCAGGTCTTTGCTGGCTTGTTTTTCCTGTTTCTTATTGACATGTCATTCAGATATATTTCTTCTTCTTTTGTCTTCCACTTGTATAATTGTTGTCACTTTTTTTAGCACGCTGCGCAAACAGCTGTCATAGTCAGGTACAAAGACTGAATGGAAAAGTCTGACAGACCTTTAAAAAAAACCTGTGGAACAAGGCTATTTCAAAAGCTTACTGTTTGTGTGTGTGTGTATAAATATATATATATATATATATATATATATATATATTATATATAAACAAACAAACAACAACAACAAAAATGTATGTATATGTACAAAATGTCTGTGTGTGTGTGTGCGTGTGTATTTAACTACTTTGAATACTGGATAAAGCTCTGTTTGCATGCCAGTAAATGTGCCCATGAAGCCGTTTTTAATCAGCTGTTCTACAGTTTCCTTGTAAAGGGAATACATTAACAACTTTACATGCTTCCACAGCACTCTCATCTCCTGCTAACAGAGAACTGTTGCACAGAAGTCTGTTTTGAGTCTGTCCATCAGCTGATCACTGTCCGACAGATTTTTTTTGTTTTCTGGCTTCCAACGTTCCTAACCACAAACATCCAGCGTGCCAAGAGTGACTCACAGAGTTATCTCTGTGTCACTTTCTCTTTTACACAACACCCACTGAAAAGCTGGAAAACACAGGGCACTCCCACTCGACTAATTCACCAAATAGTCACTCTGAGAATAGTCCTGAGTTTAACAATGTTGTCCCGCGTCTGTTTAGGCCAGCTGGTCTTAGACTTGTGTGAAACTGTGTTTTTTTTTTTTCTTGTGCACGTTCTTTAAATAGCCCTGTGTTTAATCTTAGCCAAGTTTTGTCATAAACAACAAACAACAGAAAATATTGCTTGTGTTTTGCGTATCCATAGCAACCTCTCATTGAACTCAAAATGTCCCATATCTCTGCAGGAGGGAGCTCGAAAAGCATTTTTTGTGATGCAGCTTTTGAAAAATATGTTTGCTGCTGCTTTCTCTCTGTCTCTGAGTGAACACAAAAATAGTTGATTGCTTCACGACACATTGGGTCTACTTTGTGTCTTTTTGATGATACCCACATTAGTTTTTGTCTGGCTGCTTACACAAAACTCAGGCTCTGACTTTCTTCCAGTTGGGAAAAAAAAGTTCCTAAAATAGCTTCAGACGAGCCGGTCCTATCATGTGTTCACTCAGACTTGAAGTCTGAGGTCTGATAAATGCGCCTGTCACCGACCATTTTATAATCATATGCTGCTTTTTAAAGCTATTTTTATTTCATGCTAAAAATAAATATTACCAGATGTGGGTCTATTTAAAGCATTTTGTGCTGCTCTTTGATAATCAGTGGATCATCTGGAGCTTTAACCTGATAAATCTGTAATCCAGGAGAGGCTTTTTGTATTGCCTCAGTAGCGGGGAGGATACATACAGATGCTGCTGAGGCTGGTGGCAGGACTTCTGCGAGAATGTGTGGCAGGAAGTTGATGCTCCGTCAGTGTCGAGGTGTTTGTCATGCTGGGATTGGAAACTCCAGCCTGACTACTCCTCATCAGGAGCCAGCCTGAAGCTGTGGAATAATAAGGCTCAACTTTGTTTTATTAATACCCCTGGGTTTCCTAAAAAGAAACAGAATGTTTTACTTGTTGTCATTATCCACCTTAAAAGATGCACACTTGTCAAATAATTATTTTTTGTAATTTAGATTTAAATATGGCCACAATGTCAGTATTACTAGTCAACTTGAAAGACGTGTTTTATGGCGTTTTGCACAAAAGAGCAACACCCAACACAAGTTGGTTTCATTCGTTCATTCATTCATTCATTCATTCATTCATTCATTCATTCATTCATTCATTCATTCATTCAACCTTTATTTTAGATTCATAACTGGCTGTAACTACCATACCCACCACTGCACCCTCACTGGTTAACTGGTCATCATTAACTTCACGCAGACTCTCACTGGTACATTTTCATCTTTAAACCACTTCTTGGTCTGCTGCCTTCATACATCTCCTACATGTCTCTGCGTGAGTGCAGCTACAGCGTGCACTCTCAGGACATTATTACTAGGGCCTCGATTTCCTTAATTTTGGGAAATCGGCCGATACTTGCATAAAAAAACTGATTTTACCAA